CACTTTCCCTGAGAATGAAGCAGATAAATTCTCACTGTTACTTGGAAAAGAAAATAATCCACACAAAAATTGAAAGACAACCACACTCCAGAATTAGCACTTTGGTGTGGTGATTAATTGGGGCATTAGCGGCAATAACCATACAGTCCTGTTGCTACCAATTGAGTTTGGAGGGGGTGTTGCCCACTCTCTAAAGCAGCGATGTCCAAAGTGCAGTGTGTGGGCCCCTGTAGGAGGGCATCGCTAGGGAAGAAAATGTTGGAATTTATCTAGTTTATATAACACTTTTAAGAATGAAATTAAGCTCCAATAACACTTAGCAGATGACGCTAGGAAGCTGAGCTCATGCATCAGGTGTCCACGTGTGCTCTGTGCGGAGAATTTGTAGTGCGACGGCGCCACTTTAACTCTCAGCATATTGCAGAGTGTGTGATGCTTTCTGTGTTCCTGGGAAGGCTGATTTACAATATATTTAGTTTTAATAACTGATGAAATGTATAAGTAGCTTAAAATAAATTAGTGTATGGATAAACTATGGATTAAAGGAAATACCAACAATGCAAAAACACACGTACAAGGAAAAGACAGAGCTGCCCCTCCTATTCCTACAGAAGAATAGACATTCTCTCCAGAATAAGTTCTTTGCCATCCCAGTACTAAGTAAAAATAATAGCAATTTACTCTGATAAGAAGGCATAAAAAACCTTTTAAATTATTGAGAAGACTAGACAGTAGATCAAATTGTATCCATCACCATGAATGAGGAACACTTCCTCCATCTAAATTTATATATTAAATAGTAACATGGAAAAGACTGTAAAATCTCAGAGGGAAGGAGGGGTAGGTGAGAGGGAAGAGATCAACCAAAGAACTTGTATGCATATATGCAAACCCCATGGACACAGACAACTGTGTCATAGGGGGCAGGAGGCAGGTGCGGGCTAGAAGGGGTCAAATGGGGAAAAAAGGGGACATCTCTAATACTTTCAACAATAAAGACAAATTTTAAAAATAGTAATCATGACTAGCACAATCTTCAAAAACTAAGCTTCTGGCAAATTAATATATGCATCTATAATTTGCAGCAAATTTTTGTACCATTAGCAAATATATTTTAGATTTTTATGTCTTAATATACTCTTTTAATTTAAATTTCTGTACATTTTATAATATATAAGCATATGATATGATTTATAAACATGATATGTTGAGATAAGTCCTCAAAAACTTTTTACTAAGAAGGTACATGATTTAAAATTTTAGAGACAATTTTAAGTTGGCATCTGTCTTTTCCAGTCTTTCTCAGATAATAATATTTGAGAGAAAATTATAGTGTTTCAGCTTATTGCTTTAAGTTGTCTGATATATTATGATGGGTCTTCAAATAGAATTGTTTGCTTTCTGAGATGCAAAGGTCTAATGACAACTGGACAAGAAGATAATCAAAGGCTGTCTGTTCAGTGTTACCTGGCTTATAATTTGTAAGCGAATTCTCTTCACAAACAGCAACACTCAGAGATCTTTAGGAAGCACCCACATGAATCTGAGGTAGGAATACCTGTGACATTAACGCCATCTGAACGTTGGCACCATACGGTTCGTTCATTATTATTCCAAAGACTTGCTTTCCATGTGTAGTGATAGCATTTGCCTCCTGCAAGTAGATATGACAACAGCGGTTCCATTATCCCCGACATAAGAAAAGAATAAGCTTCAGCAATCAAAGCTGAGAATTGAAAAGTGCTCTTGGTACCTGTACAAGGACGTGTTTCTAGAATCTGCTGGGGGCAGCTGTCTTGGTTTTCAAAAGACTGAATTATAAATGTCCTTGACCTAGATTGGCGGCCCATGGTCTCGAAGCTTCTTCCATCGATGCAGGTTAATTCACACGTGCTCCACTCCGACCAGCCCGTGAGATGACAGTCTCCTGGATGGGTGTGCAGTACAGAGCAGGGGCAACAGCATGGAAACTGGCACTTGACAGCATTTACATACACAGGGTTCACGGGAGATTGTTGGTGGTGCAGTGATAGGGGTGAGTTCCGTAGGCCAGACATTCTACTTTGACGAATTTTCTAATTAGAACGTACTCAGAATGATGAAGTAATTGATGGTTTAGTCTATTTTAGAAAGATAATGCCAAAACTAGATTGGCATTGCTTTGCTTCAAATCATAGTCATATCTAGAGAACACTACACATCTGCTAGTGATACAAATTTTTTAAAAAGGGAGATGTAGAGGTTAAAGTAACTAAGTTTTCAAAGAACAGCATAGCATTATAAAATTGAGGTTCACCGAAACCATAAAAAGATAATAAGCTGGTTATTAAAGTGGAATATCTTTGGGCCTAAAGAATGTCACATACACTAAACATACACACACATTTATGTGTATTTACATTTATGTGTATATGTGTACAAAAGCATATGTGTTTACATACATACACATGTATTTTGCATGTCATACTATGAGGATATATTAAGCCACCTTAAACTTATGCCATATATCCTAAGTTATTAGAATTAAAATAAATTCATACATTTTATGCAACTAATAATGCCCTTCATGGCTACATAGAACGTGACTGTGTGACAGAATGCTTTCATAGACATGTAGCCTTATTTGTCCCCACCACGCCATCTCCCTGAGGTTCATCTACTCATGGATTCGGTCAATAGTTTTGGAATAATGGCAGTGTGCTTTCAGGTCAGGTATTGTTAACACATTTCCTAGATGGAGCAACCATTGCTTAAAGGGTGAGACCATATGTCCCGGGGAAAACACCAGGGAAGTGATAGAGACAAGATTCCAACTTAGCTCTTAAATTTCCAAGTCCAGGGTTTTTCCCCCCCTTGCCTCCATTGCCAGCATATTCCAAAAGTTATAACCAAAATTAAAAATTAATTAAAGTTAATAAAAACCTTCAGTTTTGACTAGATAGAGCTTCTTCAGGAAAAAAAAACCTAATAGAAAATAAATAAGGTCATCATGGAGGGCACTCCCCATTGTGTGAGGCTGCATACCTGGGCAGGGCACAGAGCACAGCTGCTGCAGGGTGCCATCCTGCCAGGGCACTTCTTTACACTGGGCATCGTCCACACGTACAGCGGAGCTAGCGACCAAGCCATTGTGGACCACACAGGAGAGGCTGCGGATCTGGACTCCCTCCCCACAGTCTCCACCCTGGGAGAGGAAAGGATACTGTCAGGATCACCCAAATAATTAGTAGCTCAGTTTGGGCTCATGCTACCTCTTGCTAAAAGAAAAATAAAAACAAAAAACAAAAACAAAAAGGTAAACCCTAGTTGTATATTTCAGCAACTTCCTCCTCCTCAGAGTTCTCTTTCAATTCTTGGCAAAGCATCACTAAACAATTCTTTGAGAGCTAATAGAGAAGCTGAAGAAGAAATGCAAATTTATGCCGTGGAATTTCTCTTCTCAGAATATGACCATTCATTCTGGAACTCAGCTAGAATTGACTGAAAAAGAAACACCATTCATAATTTGTCTAGGTGTATGGAATAAAATGGCCTAGAATCTATAATCACCCCCTCCCCCAGGAGAGCATGTAGAACCATGGGCCATAAATTCCTCTTACACTTTTTCTCTTGCAGGCAACTCAGTACTTCCTCATATGGATTAGGTTGGGGTTTCCCATGCAACAGTGATTTTTCTCTATTGCCATGAGTTGTTTTCCCAGCATGCCTTCTGTGATGAATAATGTCCTTTGAATATATTTACAAAGCCCACTCTGATTATTCCTGGCAATTAGAAAAAAATTACATGGTCTCACAGGAAGAGAAGCTTAGAATTGAAAGGCTCTTCGTGGGCGTCTGGCCCACGCATCTGCCTGATGAAAGGTTTCCGACTAGAACACCTGTCAGGTACTCCTGAGAGGAGCGGTCTTTCCTCAGCCCTAGTCAGGTGCTCATACTTCAAACGGAATTCCATTGGATATTTTGATAACTTAGGTGATAGCTCTCTCTTTGCACCAATAGCTTGAAAAACTGAGCCTAAGGCCAACATTTCTGCTAAGGAGCTGAAATCCCAGGAGGGCAAGAGTGAGGCTAAAATAACTGAAGCAAGAAGGGAAGGAAAGTGAGTATAAGGTAGTGTGACCATGCTGGCCTCCCTTCCAAAGTCAGCACAGCTGCTTTCTTGGTCGCCTACATCCTCTTTCAGACAGGCCACGTGTGTCACCATGCCTCGGTACCACCCATGGTGGGCGAGGGAGGAAGAAGGCAAAGGCATTTAAATGCCAGCTCCTCCTTGGATCCTCTTCTCATCTATCAGCTTTCATCCTAGGGAGTATTCACTGCTCTGTGCTTCCAAGGTGTGCTGCCCAGTTTGCACTAAGTCCAGAAGTTGACAGAAGAGCTAGAGCCTTTCTGACTACTGCTGGTATGGTTGAGGGGGGACAAGGAGAGAGCCAGAGGGAGGGGGAGGAAGGGGGTGTAAGGAGGCACTGAGGGAGAGTGCTGGAGCCCTGCATACTCCCGTAGTCATGAATGACATGCTGCATAATCCATTATTAGGGAGCAGCATGGTAACTGCTCTGTACTGGGCAACTGGATTTCACCTCCTTATCCCTTCTCCACCGCAGGGCTCAGAAACTGCATTGCGCAGGCCTTGGAGCTATGGTGGCTCTTGCAGTGGCAGGAGCAAGAAAGGTCAAGGTGGTCAGCCAAAGCCGTCAGGACAGTGTTCTGGATGGGCAACAGGTTATCCGGGGCTGATGGGCCTGTGGAGCCCCGCCCAGGTCAAGGCACAGTTTGTGTCAAGGCAGGTGGTAGGTGGACCACTGGAGGTACAGGAGGGCACACAGTGGCTGCTGAGACACATTCTTCATATAAGAAAGTTATATTGGCAAAAAAGAAAAGGTGCCACTTGGAGGAGATCCGAATTATAGGAACTTAAAGCCTGTGTAGGCACGTTACCTGGGACCATCACTGTCCCTCCTAGCGCTGTTTTAACAATAATTATGTAAGACGGCAATCCCCACACTTGATCCATCAATGCCTCATACTTGCTCTAATCTAATTTCTACAGCTGTTGGAAATTGTCAAAAGTGCACTCTAATTTTGAACCCAAGTGCATTTTTTGGAAGATAAGTGGAGGTTCAAAATCAGTTCATGGTAGATTCAGGGAAAGCAAATGCTGTAGAAAAGGTCTACTCCCTGAAGCAGGAAATCACTAGTGTGAGTTAAATTTCACTTGGGGGAGTATTCTCCCTGTCGCTTGCTATTCTACAGGAGGGATCTAAGTCGTCTGGGGTGTGTTTTGCTGTAGAGCAACAGACTTTGCGGACTTGGAGAGAAGTCTGAGACTCCGCAGCAGGTATGGAATTTGAAAACCCTGCCACCGGGAACCTCAGTAACAGGACATGGAGTATAAGGAAATGGCAGGAAACAAGTCCACATAGGGGGTCAATTTAAAAACCAAGACAAACTATAATATGCTCCTCGGATGTATCCATATTTAAGCTGAATCTCTCATACCTTTGACAACAACAGCCACAGGAGGAAGATAAATCAGCATCAGAATGATTATTTCCCTCATGAAGCAGGCGTCAGCTCGCTCTTAGCCCTGAGCCTGGCTTCTCAGAGCAAGATGATCATCTGCGAGGATTCTCTCATTAACTCTCCACTGTCCAGATCACTAATGGACTCTGTATGCTCTTAATTGGCATCACCAGATGTGGTTAGGCAGATGGTGTTAATAATCACAATTATAGTTTTAATCAAGACTATAATAGCAACTGTAATAGCAATTACAATTCATGAGGTCTTCTCTTTGCCAAGGACTATGCTAAGCACTGCATATGAATTGTCTAATACCTTCCAAAAATCTCCAGCAAAACTTATACTATTTCTACTGCCATGATACAGATTTAAAAATAGGGGCTTGAAGCCCTGGCAGGTGTGTCTCAGCAGTTAGAGTGTTGGCTCAAAAACCAAAGGATCAAAGGTTCAATTCTCAGTTAAGGGTAGATACCTAGGTTGCAGGTTTAATGCCTGCCCAGTCAGTGCTTGAATAGGAGGCAACCTATTGATCTGTCTCTCTCACATCAATGTTTCTATCTCTCTCTCTCTCCCCCCCCCTCCTTCCCTCCCATCCACTCTATCTAAAAAAAAGCAATGGAAAGAAAATATCCTTAGGTGAGGATTAAAAAAAAACAGAGGTTTGGAGAGTTTAGACACTTTGCAAAAACTGCAAAGCTGGGAACTGGTAGAACATTGACTGAAATTAGGGTGCTAGACTCCAGAGTCTGCGCTCCTAAGACAGATTGGCCAACCTATGCCTGGATGCATGTTATCAGTTAAAGAACTTGGAAAGAAAGAGTTACAAAAACACTTATAAAAAGTAAAGCCTGAGGATAAACACTTCTGTTTGCTGATCTCTTTCCATATGAGATAAGGGCAACATTGGCACATCAGCAGTGCCCTGTGCAAGGTTTGATACTGCTTGATGGCAATCAGCCACTTCAATACCATCACCACCTTCAGTGAATGAGCAGGTTATATACCTGCATTTGGCAGGTTAGGCTATGATAGGACAAGAAGAAGCAGAAGTGAAATTGAGAGAGAAATGTTTTTTTCCTTTGTGGCAAAGGCCCACTGTATTTTGATCAGTAATTCCAAAACTTCAGCTTACATAAGGCAACTCACTGAAAAGATAATTGTGTTTTCCGACTCAGAGAATTCAGCATTAGGCTTCAGGGAAAGCAGAAATTCAATCTGAATGCAGGACAAAATAGAGGCAAGTATCATCAAGAAGAAGCAGAAGTGAAATTGAGAGAGAAATGTTTTTTTCCTTTGTGGCAAAGGCCCACTGTATTTTGATCAGTAATTCCAAAACTTCAGCTTACATAAGGCAACTCACTGAAAAGATAATTGTGTTTTCTGACTCAGAGAATTCACCATTAGGCTTCAGGAAAAGCAGAAATTCAATCTGAATGCAGGATAAAATAGAGGCAAGTATCACGATCCCCTTTCTCCCTTTGCCCCTGCTTTTCTCTGTGTTACCTTCCTTAGTCTTTCTCACTTCTGAGAAACTCTATCTACAGCTAAGAGTTCCTAAATACAGCATCCTTGAAAGCTTCCATCCCATTCCTCACTCTTAGGGAAGAATGCTGATTGGCCCCGTTGGGTAAGGTGCCAGAGCAATTAACTACAGACTTGTTTGCTACTAGCTTTGCCTGGATGGGGTCTAACTCCAAATTTCCTCCTAACTGAGCGTGCTAATTAGTGGGAATAGCCTCCCCTAGACATCAGGTTTCTGGACACAGCTGCTCTTATGGTCTCCAGGGCCTCCAAGTCTGGGTATTGCCAACCGATGCTATCACCCCACTTCTCTCACCAGCACTGCTGCAGAGAATGTTCACAACACACCACTCTTGCCCCAGCTCTTCTGCCAAAAGCTCCGTAGCAAACAACAAAATTAGAGATTGCATTTGGCATTTCTCCAAAATGTTTCTATGGGACAAGATGAAGAACTTGTCTAGTAAAAAACTAGCTTTGCCTGGATGGGGTCTAACTCCAAATTTCCTCCTAACTGAGCGTGCTAATTAGTGGGAATAGCCTCCCCTAGACATCAGGTTTCTGGACACAGCTGCTCTTATGGTCTCCAGGGCCTCCAAGTCTGGGTATTGCCAACCGATGCTATCACCCCACTTCTCTCACCAGCAATGCTGCAGAGAATGTTCACAACACACCACTCTTGCCCCAGCTTTTCTGCCAAAAGCTCCATAGCAAACAACAAAATTAGAGATTGCATTTGGCATTTCCCCAAAATGTTTCTATGGGACAAGATGAAGCACTTGTCAAGGGAAGGAAAGGGAAGGAAAGGGAAGGAAAGGGAAGGAAAGGGAAGGAAAGGGAAGGAAAGGGAAGGAAAGGGAAGGAAAGGGAAGGAAAGGGAAGGAAAGGGAAGGAAAGGGAAGGAAAGGGAAGGAAAGGGAAGGAAAGGGAAGGAAAGGGAAGGAAAGGGAAGGAAAGGGAAGGAAAGGGAAGGAAAGGGAAGGAAAGGGAAGGAAAGGGAAGGAAAGGGAAGGAAAGGGAAGGAAAGGGAAGGAAAGGGAAGGAAAGGGAAGGAAAGGGAAGGAAAGGGAAGGAAAGGGAAGGAAAGGGAAGGAAAGGGAAGGAAAGGGAAGGAAAGGGAAGGAAAGGGAAGGAAAGGGAAGGAAAGGGAAGGAAAGGGAAGGAAAGGGAAGGAAAGGGAAGGAAAGGGAAGGAAAGGGAAGGAAAGGGAAGGAAAGGGAAGGAAAGGGAAGGAAAGGGAAGGAAAGGGAAGGAAAGGGAAGGAAAGGGAAGGAAAGGGAAGGAAAGGGAAGGAAAGGGAAGGAAAGGGAAGGAAAGGCTGAGAAGATAACAGGGAAAGTACAGGAGAACTGGTAAGGTCTAGTAACAGTTGTGTGCCTGGTAAGACGTTGAGCATGGAGTTTCAGTCCTCTCTCGCTCTCTCACTTCCTCTGTTTCTTTTGTCTCCCTGTCCCTGCAATGGGCTCTTGCATTCTTTGAGTTGATTTTCTCTGTCAACATTTAGTGAAATTATAAGGAGAAACATTCCTTTCATTCTCTTAATTGTGATTCCAAGCATTATTTTAAAATTGCTCAAGTAGTTTAGGGAAGAAGGTTTCAGATTAGCGGACAACGTATTCATATTTAAAACCATTAGGCTAGTACTGAATTACTTAGCATGGTTACCTTTTTTCCTGTAAAAAGGAGACTGAACAAATGTACCAAACATTTTTGTTCCTCTGGGACTTATTATAATTCATGGGCATTTAACTTGTGCAAGATGATAATGCTGCAAGACAATGTCTTCTGACAGGGACAGCAGACATCTTTATGAGAATACTCCGCAGATTGCTTAATGCATAATGGAAATTATTGTTCCCTAATTATAATGAGCTTTGGAATAGGAACTGGAGGATAAACTAGTAAAGAAAGAAAACAGGAAAATCAATGTGCTTTTTCTTACACAGGAAGCCAGAGAGAAAATGCAGTGGAAGATCTTTGCTGATCCAGCAAAAGCATGTGATATATTATGATGTTTTTTAGACATTTATATTTCAGGCCAATAAAAAAGCAATCACTGAGGAAAATGTAGTAACCTTGGTTTGTGTAATAATGTTAAAATATAACTTTCATCCACTTTTGGTTTTCTGCCCATACGCAAGATTTTTGTCTAAGCCTACATGTGCCTCTTTAAGAAATACAGTCTACAGCCAGCTGTGCTATTTCCATAGCATCAGGGTTTTGCCTAATTAAATAATAATATGTCCAACAAGCCAGGAAAATATCAGAGAATTCTTGAAGATGCCAAGGAGATTGACAGTCCTGTGACCCGGCCCATTATCATCAGCGCCTAATGAATGGCTCTGCATTTTCCTGGCAGCATCACTCTGCTGGAGGTTAAGCCCTTCATTGTATTTTTCCATGTACTCCATCGCATAAAAATACATTGTGCCTGGCCCCTGCTGCTGGGAAATGTATTCCACCAGCGCACAGGTTTGAGCAGAGCATTCTCTGTAGCAGACCTACCTCCAATTTACATGCAGACCAGTTGCTGAGGACCCAGCTGTAGCAGGGGGTCACCGGGCAGGCTTTTTGCTGGGTGAGCTCTCGGGGGCACGGCCGTCCTTCCCCTTGGCTTGGCAGCATGATAAATCGAGTCCGGCTCATTCGACCTAAAATGTTAAGGAAGATGTCAACTTTTCAGGTGGAATTTGGCTTAGAAAGGGAACTGAAGGACAGGATGTTGCCTTACATACATTAAGTCTTCATTGAAATACACCAAACTCTGTCACGTCCAGCTTTCAGTTTTCCTGCCATTTTAATTTAAGTTTCTACAGAGACACAGGTTATCTGCGTAATGCTTAGGGTCTGAAATTCTGTGACTTCTACTCCCTCAGTGTTCCCAATTACAAACTCTGTATTGTTTTCAAATAGATTGATCCTGTAAACACGGGCAGAATGCTAATTCATTCAACAAATATTTATTTGCAGGAGCATCCTGCTGTGTGAAAGGATACAGTAATGAAATAAACACGGGCAGAATGCTAATTCATTCAACAAATATTTGCAGGAGCATGCTGCTGTGTGCTAGGGATACAGTGATGAAATACAGGAGTACCTTCAGCCCTCACAGAACTTATATTTAGGCCAGGATTACTAATATTAAAAATAGAGACAATTACATCTTCTTTATCTGTTAGGTTCCAAATTATCAAGTAAGGTAAAAGTTGCACACAATCTGAATTACCCTGGAAAATTCCTTAGGAAGGTGCTATCCCAATGGCCCAATAGTTTTTCTCAATTCATTCAGCATGGCTAATTTTCTTAGAGTTTAAAACCAGTGTTTTCTTGTGTGTGTGTGTGTGTGTGTGTGTGTGTGTGTGTTTCACTGAGCACAGGGTAAAGTTGTTGCTTTATGTGAAGGAGCCATGATGTTTAAAAAACACATTCAAATTTCGGTATTCTATTTCATAATTTAAAAATTGGTTAATAAGTGTAACTGAGGAAAGAGCTCCCATGTCAACTTATGCCCACTCCTAGGCATTAGGTCATAAGCTCTTTAGTTGGAATTGTGAATGGAATTTAAGTGTCTATGTCTCTCTCTCTCAATATCTCTCTCACTCTTTACTCTTCTTTTACTACTGAGGTACTATGCGTATATAGTATCATTACCATTATATCTGTGACTATAATGCCCTTCTATTCTTGTTATAAAATTATGTATTTGTGACAAAATATTCAAGAACAAACTGAGGGTTCTATTAGAGAACGTTATAGGGATGCAGCCCATTCTGGGATGGAATCAGAAAACATTTCCTTGAGCACTTGAACTTCAAACAGAAACTTCAAGTAGTGCAAGCCAATATGATATACAGAGTGTCCTATGCAGAAGAAAGAACATGTGAGGAGGTCATCAGATGAAAAGCAGAATATGTTTGAGGACCTGACTGAAGCCAATGTGGCTGGAACAGAGTCAGGGAAAGAACAGGTTGAGACAGTAGCTGGTAAAGCTATTATAAGGGGGGTATTTTAGTCAATTCCAAAAAAGTCTGCATTTGTATCTTAAGAGAACTGAAAAGCTAGTGAAGACTACACTTCCAGACCTGTAGAATTCAGGTGTTGGGTAAGATTTCAGGCCCTGGGTAGGAACAATTCTCACATGCTCTCAGGTTCAGAGATAAGGAAGCATTGCAGCATTATTCACACTTTTAGTGGACTAGGCATTTTACTGGCCTCTGGAACATTATCATAGATTTGGTGATAAACTAATGACCCTTGAAGAAAACCAGGAAGTTCTAACCACTGAATTCTAAATTCCTTGGGGTTTGGGCTTCTGTCCCTAACATGGTGTTTCATATATAAAGAGTGCTAATTATATTTTTGTTTAATTCATATATTCATAAATTATCTCCATATTATCTGGTATAAGCAAATGTGTGATAATATAATAATACCAATACAATTATTGAATATTTGCTAATTCTAAACACTTTATAGACACTGATTCATTTAATAATCATAACAACCTTAGAGGAAAATTCTATTATATTCTCATATTATAGATGAGAAAACTTAGGCACAGACAGTGTCAGTAATCATAACAACCTTAGAGGAAAATTCTATTATATTCCCATATTATAGATGAGAGAACTTAGGCACAGTATAAATCACTTGTCTAAGGTCAAAAAATGAGTAAATTGCAGAACAGAATTCAAATTCAGAAGCTTTTGATACAGAGTTTGATGTATTATTAGACATGATGCTAGGGAGACACAGGTAAGACAGCTAATACAGCAAGGATAGTACCAAAAAAGATGTAAAAGAAACTTTGGAGATGATAAAATTGTGTGAAAGGTAAAATGGGTTTGGTGAACAATAGAATCTACCCATTCTACATTCTTGGGCACTGAGTGGAGCATATCTACTTGTTCTTCCCAGCATCACTCAAATCAAATCATATAGGTCGGACATCACCTCATTCATGTGACATGTTATCCCTGCTTGATAAACACACTTTGCTCAAGATTTTATATTAATTCATGCTTATACACTCTTTAGTATTAACCCTTATGCTTATGTTCTTGACCTAAATACTCATTACCTTAATGTCATTATAATTGTATTTTGTTCTAGGTCCACCTTTGTAAGAATAATGATGATGTAGTGTTACCTTTATCATAGCTAAAGAGGCTCTATTTCATTATAACCAAATAACTTCAAGCTTGTTCTTGAATTGATGTCATGTGGATGGCCATTATTTTAAAACTATTTTATTTATCCCCATTAAAGTGACAGATATCTTCTCCTGGACATAGGGGTGGAGGGAACCTGCCTAATGGATCTGATAGGAAAAAAAAGAATAATGCTGTTATTTTTTGAAGTAAGGTACTCTTAAAATCATTTGTTGACTGATAGATATATGAAAAGATGTCCAACCTCACTAGCAATAGGGAAATGCAAACCAAAACCAAAATGAGATACCACCTCACACCTGTTAGAATGGGTATTATCAACAAGACAAGCAATAACAACTGTTGGAGAGGTTGTGGAAAAAAGGGAACCCTCATTCACTGCTGGTGGGAGTATAGGCTGGTAGAAGCACTATGGAAAGCAGTCTGGAGATTCCTCAAAAAAAATTAAGAATAAAGCTACCATATGAACCAGCTATTCCTCTCCTGGGTATATACCTGAAAAACTCAAAATCATTCATTCACAAAGATGTATGCACCCCTATTTCATTGCAGCATTATTCACGGTGGCCAAGACATGGAAACAACCAAAGTGTACTGTGATCGAGAATTAGATAAAGATGTGGCACATCTACACAGTGGAATCCTATTCAGCCATCAGAAAGGATGAAATAATGCCATTTGCAACAACATGGATGGACCTTGAGAATATTATGTTAAGTAAAATAAGTCAGTCAGAAAGAGCTAAGAACCATATGATTTCACTCATAGGGATGTAAATGTGGGATATAAAACTGAAACTCGTGAACACAAACAGCCATGTGGTGGATGCCAGAGGGAAGGGGGTAGGGGGTGGTGGGGGTCCTAATATATGGTGATGGGGAAGATTTGACTTTGGGTGGTGGGCACATGGTGCAATGTACAGATCTTGTAACACAGAAACCCTCACCTAAAACCTATATGATCAATATCACCCCAATAAATTTAATTGAAAAAATAAATTTAAAAAATAAAACCATATTTAAAGAACAGCCAAATTATTTTCTACCTTTTACTATCCAATCACAAAGATAATATTTTCAAACAATGCTAATTACTTCCAAGGACATATATTTTAAACCCCAAAGCATATAACAATCCTACATTTTGAAGTATGTTATATTTAATTATCTAATATTAAAGGTCAGTTAAAATTTGCTAATAAAAGAGCAAGAGTCTAATAGGCAACTCCTGGCCCTGATGTTTCTGTGGGGTACTTGATGGCTTTTAACATGTTCCTTTTTCTTTTTACATCAGGGATATTTGGTTGTATAAATTAAATAATTGGAGAAAGTGCCCCTCAAATTAGATACTCTTTCACAAATCCCGAAGTTGTAAATATAAATGTGCCTACATGGACAGTATAACAAGGAGGCCTGCCATCTCCAATGACAGTGGTTAAATACTACATGGGATTCCAAACATTAGAGTAGATGAATATTCGACCAAACTGTCTCCCAGCAAGGCTGTTCTAAAAGGGACCCCTGGTAGCAGGGATTGTTCTGGTGACAGTAAGTTTTAATGTGAGTGGGGAAACAGTGGCAGTTGTTGCCAAATTAAACATATTGTAAAATGTGATATAATATAGAATATTATAGAAAGAGAATGTTAAAATTAGTTGATGTGTGGTGAAAAGAAACCAGGACTTGGCATCAAAATTCTCTATTTGGAAGCAGTTCTCTCAAATTAACAACTAGGAAATGATGTGACTGCATGAAAGTACTTTAACTCCTCTGAGCGTAAATTCTCTCTTCTGTAAAATAAAATTAAATATACAGAAACTCCTTATTATCTGAGGATAATTCATGCTGGGGAAAATGCCACTTAAAAGTGAATCTATTTAAAATGGGAATTAAATTATTTTAAATAAATAATAAAAGGTCTAAATGGGCCATTTTCTGGAACTAAGGAGTTTGCAAGTGGGTTTATTTGATCTAATATAAACGACTCTGCAGATTATAATTGCAACTATGCACTCATTAGGGAAAAGAATAAATCAGCTACGGATATTTCTTTCATAATTTTATGATTACCCTATAAAAAGAATCATTGTTTTATGACTGGCTTGAGCAGTTTGATTATAGCATCTTTTGGCCTTTGAGTCACTTTTCATCAATTTTCTCAAGAGCTCCCTTTAATCTCTGGTGTAAGGATCACTCTATTTTGTACTTCATTTGCAACTAGAGATTGACAAACAAATACCCTGATGCAATGACAGCACATGTGTGTCAATGAGGATGTTTGTGGCCTGGGGGATGACTTTATAAGGGGTCAGTTCACTGGTGATTCAGATGGACTCCTTACACTTATCTCACACTAATTACATGAATAAAACATATATAAACCACATGTAAAATATAGAAGGTACTTGTTAAAATTTTTAATATTTTTAACTATTTGTTTTAAGAACTATTTCAATCAATTCTGAGAATAAGCCTGTAATG